ACGTAAAACTTTACGTTTATCCTCCACGGTATTAGGGACTTCCAAACCTCTGATATGAATCTGGTAGTGGAGTTCATGACTTAATAAGTCATTTGGGCTTAGTCTAGACTGAACCATGATTGAGAAATAAATCTCAAAGAAACACTTGAAAGAAAAAAAATTAAAGTTAAAAACCTGAATACGTCAAGAAATGACAAGGATCCAAAACACTATAAAAAACTAACAATACAAACAAAAAATTTCAATACAAAAACAGGAGCAGCCAAATCTTAAAAAAATTATGTTATATCTGACATACATTAAAAGAGTACAGAGACGTTCAAGTCCTGTTAATCCAATGGAAAATCAGACACTAATGTTCTAATTTCCCCCAAAGAATATGCCAGATAAAACTATAAAACATTAAAATTATGAAAACTTTTGCTCCAAACAAGAGACAAAATTACTACAATAGTTACTGAGGAACGTATACTATTTCAACAACAAGTTGAAGTTTAATTATCATAAATGAGTATGTGTGTCTTTGTATAGGTAAAAATGATTTAGGAGTCACCCCCCCATTGAAAAGTAGCAAAAAGTATAGTCAAGAAAAACATCATTTGTTTCTTGAAAAAAAAAGTAAGTATCAACGCACTATGTCCAAGTGTCAATACTTGAAAAAAAGTAAACCGCCAAAATATACGAAAAATTATGAATATCGATTTCATACAATTCAGACAAATGGATAAATCGCAAAATGATTTACTCCATGTAACTCTAGTCAGTAGATTATTGCCATTAGAATGAAAACAAGTGATCAAAAGTTCAAGTACAGTCAAAAATTCAAAAAGTAAATACATTTTGGGAAGGCAAAAATAATTTTGAAAGTAAATTTCCTACGTACCAAACATCATGAGAACTATATCAGTACACTAGAGATCCAACAATTAGGCTATATATGCATACATGAAAAGTTTCAAGAAATCAAAAAACTGCACATGAAGAAATACTTTCAAAAACTAAGAGGTTAGTGATCAAAAATCTAAAGCATATAAGAATATATAAACTATCAACAACAATAGTCACAACCTCAATCAAAAGTTTGATGATCTTCGACAAAATGCTGGGAAACCTAAAGTCCCCAGACTATCAATATTCAACAAAAAAAAAATTATCAAAATATCATCGATCTCAAAACTACAATGAGAAAAAAGTTATAACTGTCCCCAGCAGTGAATAAAAACTATAGTAGTATGTGAGAAAAAAAAATTCTGGCAATGATCTCGCTGACTAATAAACAAGACAATTTTAAAAGTTAATAAAGCATAGTACGCCTATGAAATAAACAGGTGGAAAAATTTTAATCTTTTGATAAAAATTTTAAACATTAAGCAAAAAGTAAGAATGATTCAAGAATTAGAAATTTGAGTACCAAAAGTAATTAAAAATAGAAATGCTGCCAAAAATTGTAAAGAATTTTGAAAACTATGTTCTGTCTGCCAATCTTCCACTAGCAAACCACTTGTCGACAAAGCCAAACACCAATCGAAGCCTCACGTTGCGGGTGCCAATTTATGTAACGCTTCCTTTCCGCAAAAAGTCCAGAAAAGATGGAATGCAATAAAGATTCCAACTTTTCTGTACAATCACAGAAAGGGGGTTAGCATTAACTTCCGGTAGCTCAGTCGGTGGCATGAAGACATCTACAGGCGTGTAGCTGTGTGTCGACCATGGCATGGCTAGAGGATAGAAGAACAAACAGAACACAAAAATTTAACAGATTTTATTTAACAAAAAAAAAAAACATTTCCATTACATTACAATTTTACAGTTTTAAAAAAACATCTATCTTTCGCTGGTCCATTTTGACTCGACTGGCCAGGTGCTTGAAGTGGAGGTCCCAGTTGTGAGGGGTGACCTCACATATAGTGGCTTCATAACCAGTTGTAGGCGAAGTAAAAGGCGATGGCGCTGCCAAGGCACATGCATGGCTGAAAATATTGGCCAAGCAAGGCAAAGTCAAAGACTAAGGCAAAGGGAAAGGGAAAGAGAAAGAGAAAGGGGAAAGAGAAAGGGGGTGGCCCCAATCTGAAAAAGAACCGTGTGCATTAGCAACGTGCCCTAATGGCCAAGGCATTTCCAATCTCAGTCTGCCTCAAAAGAGAACCAACGATTTTCTAGGTTAGAATTTCATTACATAGTTTGATAAAATCAAACCGAAAATTGGAAATGCCTTTCATAAAATAAAATCATGAAATAGCAAAAAAAAGCGTAAAACAAGATGGTGGTCATCAAAAATTTCTCCACATGCTTCTGATATAAAAACACAAATATCGAATATTCATAATCAACGTACTTATAATTTCACTGAACTATGAATATATATACGCACACAGAGGAAAAATCGATGTGGATCGATTTCCACCTCGATTTGATTAAAGTTATGGCGAATAATCGAAGTAGTCGAAAATGACGTTCGATTAATATTTTAAAATCGTACAAGAAATAAACCACTTACATATCGATTATCTATAAACTACAGGCAGATCCAGCAATAAAACTGTATAGTATTATAAAACTAACCATTTTGTCCTATACGGACACACATTCTACAAAATTCTAGCACATGGTGCTATATGACCTTGTGCTACAGAGAAGAACATTTTTAGCTGTTGTTCGATCGGCGGCTCAAGTGAAAAGGAAGCGCGAGGAAGATCGCAGATCAGGAACTCCGCATCAAGCGCTCCAAGCGGAAAATTTTCCAAGTAGAAAAGCTAGAGATGGGATTAATGAAATGATAATCGAGAAGTGATTTAATAAATACGATCGGACGGTGAAACCGTTACACTAGGGCAGCTGCGGTGAGCAGAGGGGTGGAGAGGAATTGTTCCATGTGCATTCGAACTAATTTTTATAAAAGGTGTTAATATATAATAGCGAAGTGGTTCATTTATATTTATTTATTTAACCAGGTATTTAACAATGTGATTGATAACACAGCTAAGCTATCATGACAAATAACTGACAATATTTGGTATATATATATATATATATATATGAGAAGTAGTCATCTCTACGTTCTTTCTGAAACACCTTGTGGCTGCAACCTCACCGACGAGTAAGTTATCTGACAATTTAAATCTGTCTTCTTTGCTAGCATCACAATTGTGTTTTCAGAATCCTGATGATAGCTCCATAGAGAATGCCGAAAGCTTGATTTTATCGTCAAAAGAGTCAACTTAAGCCTAAAAGTTTTGCCAATTTCCCAACTAACAAGTAATTGTATATATATATATATACAGGGTGACTTTGAAGTTGAGTCATTAATTTTCAGATAATGATTGTAGAAGGAAGATAAACCAAAATATGTGTGTAAAAATAAAAAAAAAATTGAAAAAAAGTTTTTACCTTGTTTTATAAAGTATCCTCCCGACAAGTATTTCAGTGCGGACCTGTATTTGATCGTCTTAAGTCACCTGATTCACGAGCCCGTTGTACTACATTAACAAAGGCACGAGGGGTTGGTTGCACTCGATTGGGAAACCGATCCGCATAAACATGTGCCATTTTTTATTTCGTTTGAGCCACGCAACAGACTGTATACAAATGAATGAAATAATTCGTTCCAAATTCTTTCGCTTTTTTGTTTCCGATGCGATGAACCGATACGGCGGATTATATCCGTTGTCGCCAAACACGAGCACATTGAGACAGGGCGGTACTCAAACTTCCAAAGGGCTATAACTTTGTTACTTTAATTTTACCAGAAAAATGGTAAAGGAAAAAAACATTTCTTTTGATCAGATCTACTCACTGTTAAAATAAATGACTCAACTTCGAAGTCACCCTGTATATAATGTATAAATTATAATCATCGACTATATTAAGCGGTGATCGATTGTGACAGTTTTTTTCGTTTACGGTACGCGTTCCGAATAAACGAACCTCGAACTTCGTCAAGAATGACTTTTTTGGGTATAAAGCGCGTTGCTTCGCCGTCCATCAGCCATCTACTCCGACGATAACAAAGATACGGACCTGGAGACTTTTGCACGAGAAAGCCCATACTTTGGACTCTCAAGTAAGACAATATAATATTGGATCACGCCAAATAGAATTGTCCTTTTTTACGCGTGAAAATCAACATTTTCGAATCGATTCAGAATTTCTATATTCTATAGTCCAAACGGTACCGGACTATAGCAATATTCATAACAACAATCAAGTAGGTTGCGATGTTTACAGGCAGCTGGTGTTAGGCTTTGACGTTTAGCGGTTCATAGAAGTCATCATCAGTTTGAATACGATAAAAATGATTGTAAGACTTTATTACTGCCAAAGATCAATTCCTGAAGAGACCAGAAATCCACAACATATATAACAATGTATTATTGTGTAGTGATACCCGGTGCCGAGTGTTTACAGTTTTCAAGATGTTGCTTACTAAACATATTCGCTGTTACGGTGGCGCTCATCCCAAAAATCGAATACAAAATTTGGAACTATTGCGCATTTGTTGCGCGGCGTGGAGCGGCCTAGACCGTTCTCGAATCACGCGTGATTATCCCAGACCGACATCACCTACCTGCAACCCATTCCCGCTTCTAAAAAAACGCGCACGTGTTTTTCCTATATCAAGTGGAAGCTTCATCTCGTTGGCCGAGATCGGTCAATCGTTGTGGAAGATACCCCGCTGCTTGGAAAACCAGTCTTTACAACTTTTGTTCTGAATATGCCTGCATCGCGGTATGTGAGCGATGGGCTACCAAGGCTGATTAGTGGCAAAGGTTAGTCATAGCAGCGTCGCCAGGTCATTGGTAGTGTCGGTAGGTCAGGAGAGAAATTGATAACTCTTCCATTTTTACTAATACAGGCAAGAACGCTGAATAAGGAAAAAATAACATCGCAAAACAATATTTCTCCCATGTCCTCCATAAATAAAGGAGATTCGTATTTTGATAACGAAGGATCGTTTCGCTATCAAGCAAACTTAGAATAAGGAGCAATTAAGATCACTAAAATCTCTATATTATTGTCAGTGAATTATTATTACTAATGATCGTTATATGTATGTGTATGTGATTTGGGCAGACCACAGGTCTCCACATTTTTAAAACATATATGAAGGTATTCATTTTTTCACATGCACTAATGCTGTGGTCGTATCACTGCTTGGCATCTCCTCTATTTGCGTAGGTATGTGTGGGCGTGTCAGGAATTCGGACATTGTCACCGAAACTCCGGGCTGATCCTCTCTCTTCTTACATGTCCATTTGAACGGTGGCTGTAACCTACAAGCAAAATAAACGGTTAGTATAATCCAAAGTACCAAAGTATCAAAATAGAAGAAAGCACCATGAGGTGTCATACGCTACTGTTAACGAGGAGCGTATTTGAGTAGGGTGAGATTCGCGAACACATACATTAGGACAACGCTCCATTAACGATGAGTTCAGCTCTCTCCTAAGTCCATCATACTACGAAAGCATCTAATTACATCATGTCAGTTTAGCTATGGTTGCAGTAGAATCATATTCATCTGTCTGTCTGTCGGATTATCTCACGGTCTATCTGATTGTCATCATATGGGAGGGGACTATGGAATAAGGACTATTGTACAGGGTTGTTTAGCTGCGTTAATCTATTTACTTTTATTATTATCTGTTTTTGTTAAGAAGGGCGTTTCAATAATATTCCAAGGTTCTATTAAACATGGTATTTCGTAAGAAAAAACTGAAATATTTATTGTATTATGGTGTATACAATTTGGAATTATGTACGAAACAGCTCATCAGGTAAACCATTTTGGTTGCCACGGCTCCGTTGGCACTTGTGCACTCTTTTAATAAAATTTGTGGTATCATTTTTGAGCACATGTCGGGGAATCTCGTTGATACAGCGTCTGATTTCAGCCTTCAATGCTTCGGTGGTTGCAGACCTGTTGGCATACGCTTGTAACTTCAGATAACCTCAAAGTCAAAAGTCCAAAGGTGTAAATCGCAAGAGCGTGGCGGCCGATTCTGGTCATCAAACCGGAAGACGACCCGACCAGGAGGAAGCTAGTGCAAAACTGCCATTGTTTCAAAAGCAGTATGGCATGTGGCATCATCCTACTGAAACAATATGCCATTAAGAGCGATGAATTCTAATTGTGGCACAAAAAACTTAGTAATCATTTCACGATAACGTTCGCCATTCACTATTAGTGGATTACCCACCTCATCCTGAAAGAAAAACGGTCCAATAATTCATCCAGACCATAGTGCACACCAAACAGTGACACGTTTTGGATATATGTATAGGTTTCTCATGAATTACTCATGGATCCAATTACAAAACTCTCTTGGCTGTGCATGATCTGTTACGTCAATTGAACTTTGTAGGCATGCAGGTGTAAATCTATCGTTAGAATACGCTGGAAAGTGGCTGTTTTAATGTCCAATTCTTGAGCGCGATGACAAATCGCCCCTGGACTCTCGGCTACATTTTCGCGAACTGCTCTGCCATTTTCTTCTGAACGACCGCTGCGAGCTCGTCGACTATATTAAGGGGTGATCGATTGTTCGAATTGGTATAATTGGTAGGAGTTCGGAAATCGTCGTATGACTTCGACGCGGTTTTTCCGGTTTTTTTCCCGGTTCGCGAAACGTTCGGAATGAAAGAGGTACCGTTTCGGAAACTAGACGGTCGGCGCTTTACGGGCGGGCGAGAGCCGTCGCGGTGAGAGGAACGAATCGGATCGAAAACGGCCGGTAAAGTCGAAAAATAGGTGGTTTTTCGCGCCGTCGAGACGTTTACCCATCAGCCGCGTCGCCGTTTATCGAAATATCGACTCGAGATCGGTTTCGTTCGATAGCTAAACGAAGAGAGACGGGTCTGAGCTTGAATCTGTTCGGTTCCGCGTCACGTTTTTTTTTTTCTAGAAATTTTCGAAAAAAAAACGACAAAAATGACGAATCGCCCGGGAAACTCCGATATCTCCCTTATGCCGAAGAGAAAAGGAATTTCGCGCGCCGCGTTTCGTACATCTCGGCGAGCGCTACAAATTACGCGGAGAGACGTTTTTTCGTTTGCGGTACCCGTTTCGAATAAACGAACCTCGAACGTCGTCAAGAACGACTTTTTTGAGTATAAAGCGCGCTGCTTCGCCGTCCATCAGCCATCTACTCCGACGGTAACAAAGATACGGACCTGGCGACTTTTGCACGAGAAAGCCCATACTTCGGACTCTCAAGTAATACTATTTTCATCGTCATTATTCGTTTACGTTGAAAAGTTTCGATTTTTTAAAATTGCTCGACAATATGCTACATTTCGACGCGTGAAAAAGTCATTTTGTTATCCGGCTCTGTCTTCGCCTATTACTACCGTACGTGAGCGAGTAAAAATTATACAGCTATCGAAAAATAACGATAATGAGCTGAGGAAACGATTCTGACTGTTAGAATTACCGTCAAATTTCGAAAAAGTAAACTTTGAGCCCCTCAAAAGTACCGATGACAGCCGTTTTTCGGCGTACTTTGTCTTCGTCGATACGGACCTTCGTTACGGATCGACATAGGTACGATTTTTTTTTCGCAAAACGAAAGACCAAAGTCTCCTGATTAAACCGATATACGACACGTTACCCGATCGCATTTTTTAAACTCGGCAGATTAGAAAATTCAAAGATAAGCAGATATTTTTAGTTTGAAGTTTCAATTTTGATTTTCGCTCCAGATTCGCGATTCCTTTTAGGCGGGGTATTGTAGGTATGATCGTATTACGAAAGCGAGCGCGTGCAAGCGGAACGTCAAAAACGTGCCATTTTCGGCTTCATGACTATCGCTTCATCCAATATTGGATCACGCCAAATAGAATTGTCCTTTTTTACGCGTGAAAATCAACATTTTCGAATAGATTCAGAATTTCTATATTCTATAGTCCAAACGGTACCGGACTATAGCAATATTCATAACAACAATCAAGTAGGTTGCGATGTTTACAGGCAGTTGGTGTTAGGCTTTGACGTTAAGCGGTTCATAGAAGTCATCATCAGTTTGAATACGATAAAAATGATTGTAAGACTGTGATACCCGGTGCCGAGTGTTTACAGTTTTCAAGATGTTGCTTACTAAACATATTCGCTGTTACGGTGGCGCTCATCCCAAAAATCGAATACAAAATTTGGAACTATTGCGCATTTGTTCCGCGGCGTGGAGCGGCCTAGACCGTTCTCGAATCACGCGAGATAAATTCTCGAAGCCAGGATTTTACTTTTTAAAAAATATTTATTTGAGTACCGACTATTACAAGGATGAGTTATGAACTGAACTGATTAACAAAAAATAAAACCAAGTAAACTAAAAATTGTTGCATTTCCGGTAAAGGTGAACGCCGTTCATGTGCCGACGTATGGTTACCGTATCCGGTTGAATACATAACTCCTCCCTCCTTAGGATGGAAGCTCGTCCTCGAACTTCTGCTGGTTGGCCTGAGGTTCTTGAAGATCCTTCAAGGGAAGCCTTGGCTTGAAGAACAGGGTGTGTAGTATCTTTCGTTTTCTTGAAACGAAATACATAATGGTTGCAGCCAGGATGACGTACAGGGTTGCAACAGTCCAAGATATGGATGAGATGAAGATGGGCCTTAGATGCGTTGGCTGGATCACAGACAGTCGGGGTGTTTCTTGAATTTTGTCGATCTGGTCCAGGTGTATTTGGAATTTGGGATTCAGTTTTACAGGAACAACATCTGGGATCTGGATCTTCTGACTTGATGTAGTATACCATTTTTGGTCAATTTTTAATGCAAATGTTGACTGGACTATTACTGGTTGGTTGACATTTTCCACTTCTCCGGAACAGTTTTCAAAGACTTGGATCTGCCTGTTTGTGCTCAGTACTATAAGATTTTTTTCAGTACGGTGGATGATCGGTTGGTGAAAAACTGTTATGGCTGCTGTACAGTTTTCCAATGTTGGCAACTGGCATTTGCTAGACGACATTGATTGGCATATAATCTTCTTTTCCGTGTGCTTGCAGTCAGGGTACCAATGATTGTTTCCATAATGGGTAGCCGGGGGTATCAAAATGATTGCGTCTTTGTTTTGGACGGGGTAAATATGGTAAAGGGGAAACTGATGTTCATCAAGGATAGGGATCTTTAGGATAATTAAGAGTTGAGTATCCGTTATAACTATTGTGCTATAAGAATTTTCAATTAATTCAAAGGGATGCAGATCGTCTGACAAAAGACAAGTTTTCATATAGAAAACTTTTAGATGATTTTCCAGATCAGTTATTTCTGACAGGGTAAAAAGTTCTACATTTGACTGCTGAAGTGCTGCTAGGCTTATTGTTCTTAAAATTTTGAGAAGAAATTGATTCAGGCTACTGATGCTGAGAATTTCGCTATGAAGAGCAAAGTACTTTCCAAGACTGTTCTCTATGGATTCAATCTCCCGTGCCACCTTGACAGAGTTCTTATTGAAAGCTGTAATAAAATTATTATATCTTTGTATAGTGTCTAAGGCGTAGGTGGTGGAGTTATTAACGACGGTAATAATTTCGGATTGCTTCTTCTCAAGAGCATCAATATGTTTTTCTAAAAATATACGATCATTCTCATCGAGGTTTCCAGTGATGGACTTTATCACCGTACCCAACATGTTCACTAGACCACGTTTTCTACGTGACCGAACGATTTTATGAAAATTATCCAAAGTTTCTTGATATAGAAGAGTATAGTGAGTGACTACATTTTGGTATGCAGAAGTCGAAATTTTGTTGAACAGGAGGGTGTGTAACAAGGCTGATTTCAAGGAGATGTCTATAGAAGTTAAGTTAATGGTTAAAATATGGCGGTGATATTGATCCAACATTTGTGCTTGACCAACCAATTCCTGGTAATATCCATTATTGGGGATCGGGCGCACTTGAAGGGCCAGGCTGTGGCTCAGCAGGTGGCTGGTCCTGTAACAAGGGTGCTTTGCGTAAGCGTTTTATGTTTCTTGGATGAGTATTTGTGGGTCTATTTTTAGATGTTACAGCCTCTATTTGGGTCTCTTTGGCTGAAGTGACCTTAGCTGACACATAGGGTGCAGTAAGCTTGTTTCGAGGGTTTTTGTGACTGTAAATAGGATCTCCAGGTTTAGGGGCTGGGGTAGAATCAGAGTGCTTTTCGTTTCGTTTGTCCAAAATTCTAGTCTCTTTATTGTGAATTTTCCTATACAGGGAATCGATAAAAGGGCGGAGTTCGTCTTTATGTCGTTGATTATATTTTTCATATACTGGCATGTCGTCGTCAAATTGAATTTCTTCGGCATAGGGGCCATAAAGGATAGAAAATGGAGAGTAACCAGTAGCGGAATGTATCGGTTGATTATAAATTAGGATACAGTGAGTTACTAGATCTTGAAAATATTCCTTTGGACGTTCGTCTTTCATTACTCTGAGTTTTTCTATGAAAGTCGAGTGAAACCTTTCAATAGGGCTATTGGAATTTGGATTGTTTACTGTGATGAAATGTAGCTCAATTTTATGAAGACTCATGAATTCCTTGAAGAGATTATTAGAAAATTCTGTGCCTTCGTCACATACAATTTTCCTCGGATAGTTGTGGTGCGAAAAATAGTGACGTAATTTACTCAATGTTGTGACTGTCGTTTTATCTGAAATATGGTAGACTTGAGCGTATTTAGAAAATGAATCAATAATAGTCAGAAAACATTCTTTATAACAGGAAAATGTATCTATGTGTAGAATATCGAATGGTTTTTGACCTAGAAGAGGACCTTTCAAAGGAAGTTTGTATGGATGCCTTTCATACTTATTGCGAAGACAGATATCACACTGATTAATAAAATTTGATACAGTACATCGCATATTTGGCCAGTAATATTTAAGTTTTAACTGATTGATGGTTTCGACAATGCCATTATGATTATTTTTGTGATAATTTTGAACACATTGAACTTGAGCTTCAAGATCGTCTATGTCTTGAACACGCTTGGAACAAAAGAAAATTTGGATGGTGTCATTGTAGGTATTTTGAACATACTCAGCGATATATTTTTGGATGTCGGTATTGTCTGTAAGAATATAATAACGTTGATTTGGGGCAATTATGTCGTGAAGTGCTGTTTTTACGCCGTCTTTCCAATTTGCTTGGACAAGGGTGACCAAATGTTGATGTTTAGACTTGAATTTCAATGAATACCTGATAGAATGTTTGTCTCCAATTTTTATTATAATTTGGTTAGTGAAGTAATTTATAGGCTCTTCAGAAAATGGGACAGTAGCAACAGGATGTTCAACTGATGAATGTTGGGTAGATTGGCCAGTTTCTTTATTAAAGGATTGATTCACAAATTCGTCAAGATCAAATATTTCATCGTCCGAAGACTCTGAAGGGGGATTAGCAATCACGGATTCAGTTTCATGCATATTAATTTCTATGCGGGATAGGGCATCAGCTACAACATTCTCCTTGCCTTTTTTATATTTTACGTCAAAATTATAATCTTCCAGTTTGAGTCTCCAACGAACTAAACGAGAGTGAGGTTCTTTAATTTTCTCTAGCCAAACGATGGGATTATGGTCAGTTTCGACAGTAAATTTAACACCATACAGATAAGGGCGGAAATGTTTGCACGAATCTAAAATCGCTAAGAGCTCTCTTTCAATGGTCGAATAGTTTCTTTCAGCAGTATTAAGACTACGAGAGTAGTAAGCAATGGGTTTTCCATCTTGAGATAGAACTGAACCTATGGAAACACCTGAAGCATCTGTGGTAAGAGTGAACGGTTTTGAAAAATCTGGGTATTGGAGTATGGGGGAGTTGCTAATTGCGGATTTGCACTTTTCGAAAGCTTCTATGTACAACGGATTGGTTATGTCAATTTTTTCTCCTTTTCGTGTACAACGTGTCATAGGAGCGACTATTTTTGAGAAATTGTGAATGAAGCGTCGGTAGTAGCCGACTAAGCCAAGAAAGCTTTAAATTTCTTTTCGTGATTTGGGAATGGGATAATTTTGAACTGCATGGATCTTACTAGGATTGGGCTTTATACCCTCTGGGGTCACTATGTGGCCAAGGAATGCAACTTCTTTGCACAGGAACTCTGACTTGTCAAGTTGTATTTTTAGATTTGTGTCACGGAATTTTTGAAAGACTTGTTTGATGTGTATGAGATGTTCTTGAAGGGACCTAGAAAATATGATGACATCGTCCATGTAAACAAAACATGATTTATAGAGGTGGTCTCGGAGAACTTCATCCATCATCCTTTGGAAGGTCATAGGAGCATTACGGACCCCCATAGGCATCTTCAAATACTCAAAATGTCCATTTGGGACAGTGAAAACGGTGTTCTCCACAGAATCTGGATGGACCTGTATCTGATGGAAACCTTGGGCTAGGTCAAGAGTTGTGAAATAGGTACACCTGCCAAGATTATCCAGAATTTCATCTATCCTAGGAATTGGATATTTCTCTTCCACTGTATTGTAATTGAGCTTCCGATAATCGATTACCATGCGAAACTTTTTCTTTCCGGATGCGTCTGCTTTTTTGGGAACAATCCAGACTGGGGACGAATATGGAGAGATTGAGGGACGTATGATGTTGTTTTCTAAGAGTTTATCAATTTGTGAAGAAATTTCGGGAAGCATAGCTCTTGGATACCTATAGGATCGTCTTTAGTACGAATAATATGCTTGACAGTACTTGTACAAGTGAGAACGGAATCTTCTGTATGAAAAATGTCTTTATATTGATGGCATAAACGGAGAATTTGTTCTTTTTCTTCAGAGTTCAAGTGTTGAGTTCGAATCATACTACTATTGAAAGAGGTACTAGAAGACTGTTTAGGAAGTTCTTCCTCAAATTCTGAGAGGTATGTGGCAGAGACAGGTTGAGAAAAACCAATTTCCAAATTTTCCGCTTAGGAATATCGATATAACCATCTTTAGCATAATGTATAGATTCTGGTAAGATAACATGACCTTCATGGATGACTTCCGGGACAACTACTTCACCATTGTTGACGGATACAGGAATAGATAACCGATTATTTGTACGATAGATTATTTTAAAAGGAATTTCGATACCTAGTTTACGGACAGAAAATATGTGAGATTCATAGTCAATGTTTGCACCCAATTGATCAAGTTCACCAGTTCCGAGAAGAATATCAAAATCATCATGCCAATCTGCAATTCTGACTATAAGAGGTGTATGAATACCTATTTCATTTAGTACAGGGTAATATAAATTTCGAGTATACGTTTTCGGAGTTTTCATGGAGATAAGAGTGAAGGGCTCATAGAATTCATGTTCAGGGTCATACATTTTAGCAGCTCTTGGGGTAATAACTGTATCTGATCCACCGGAGTCGATCAAAATTTTCAAATTGGAATGAGGTAGGTAGAAATAGGGTAGCTTGGTGTGTTTTGAAAAGTTATTTAATTGGATGGTTCGATATCGGGCGGTTCCTGAATGGCAGGCCCTTGAAAATTTTCGGAATAATCTTGTTGGTCTTTATATGTATCATAATATTCGTGATTACCACATTCGTCAGAATATGTGACGGAATTTGGGTCACACTCTACATTATGATGAAAAGTACGACTATTATGAGTGGAGGTGGACATCGGAGTTGGTTTACGACTAGTAGTCTGCGTTACTGACATAGGACTGGGCTTGTATTGATTATTCGGTACATTATTTGGACGAGAAGGACCGAATACTTCTCTGTTAGTAGGAGGATTTTGACGTTGAGGTGTGGGCCAATTTATATCACCAAATGTTCTGTTAGGTGTGAACGATTGGAAACGGGGCTGTTGAAAAAAATTTTGGGTACCATTAGATGGATTCTGTTGAATGACAGCTTGGGCATTACGTTGAATGGGACGTGGTGGTGCCTTTTGATACTCATTGGGGTAGGTAGAGGATTTCAGATACGACATATATTGCTGTTGTTGCTTATGGTTATCTAAAGAAATACATTTCTGAAGAGCTTCGTCTAACAAAGATAAATCGTAATGAGATAGGTGGTCGCAATATGGATTATTTATACCAGTACAGAAGGTTCTAAGTGCTTGATTTCTAAAGAATGAAGCTTTAAACTCAACTGCCTGTGGATTACTTTCATGAAGTGAAACATGCTGAAGAATATCATTTAATGCCATTGTTACTCGGTGGTGATATTCATGATACGATTCGGATCGTTTTTGGACTGTGGTTGTGAGTTGGGTTAATAAAATTTCCTCGGTGCGATGATCACCATATTTCTGCAATAAAAGTAGCTTTATCTCAGCCCACTGAGTTTGATTGTGAAGATTTAAAAAATCACGAGCCTCGCCTTTTACCTTAGACAATATATTAGCATTTATGATGTAGGTTTGGATAGCATCCGCACCTTGTTGAGAAAAAAAAAATTACCAAATTATCTACAGAGTTGATAAAAGTAGATAGATTTTCACCCACTTTGTATTCTGGCAAGGTATTACACAGATTATTGATATCCGAATTTGAGAGTACCATGTTTGGGTTTTCTGTAATAGTTTCTAAGGAAGAGGTACTTAATTGTTCGGTAGAAATATTTTCGAGAGAGGGAGTAGAATATGGCTTAAATCTAGACTTTTCTTTTGAAATTCTTCGAGTACTAGGTGAAATAACAGCTTGTAAAGAATCCTGTGGATACTCGGAACTCATAGGAAAAATGGAATTGACTTACATAAGGATCAGACGAATCAGAAGGATTTTCATCTCCAGTACGGTCTCCAGTTTCCTCAGGTCCGTGGTATTTGTAGATAACTGCCAAGTCGTTGACACGAGCCGATGATCCTCAGGGATGTCGTGCAGTTATCCTGTTCGCAGCGCCAGATAAATTCTCGAAGCCAGGATTTTACTTTTTAAAAAATATTTATTTGAGTACCGACTATTACAAGGATGAGTTATGAACTGAACTGATTAACAAAAAATAAAACCAAGTAAACTAAAAATGTCTATGTTGCATTTCCGGTAAAGGTGAACGCCGTTCATGTGCCGACGTATGGTTACCGTATCCGGTTGAATACATAACTCGCGTGATTATCCCGGACCGACATCACCTACCTGCAACCCATTCCCGCTTCTAAAAAAACGCGCACGTGTTTTTCCTAAATCAAGTGGAAGCTTCATCTCGTTGGCCGAGTTCGGCCAATCGTTGTGGAAGATACCCCGCTGCTTGGAAAACCAGTCTTTACAACTTTTGTTCTGAATATGCCTGCATCGCGGTATGTGAGCGATGGGCTACCAAGGCTGATTAGTGGCAAAGGTTAGTCATAGCAACGTCGCCAGGTCATTGGCAGTGTCGGTAGGTCAGGAGAGAAATTGATAACTCTTCCATTTTTACTAATACAGGCAAGAACGCTGAATAAGGAAAAAATAACATCGCAAAACAATATTTCTCCCATGTCCTCCATAAATAAAGGAGATTCGTATTTTGATAACGAAGGATCGTTTCGCTATCAAGCAAACTTAGAATAAGGAGCAATTAAGATCACTAAAATCTCTATATTATTGTCAGTGATTTATTATTATTAATGATCGTTATATGTATGTGTATGTGATTTGGGCAGACCACAGGTCTCCACATTTTTAAAACATATATGAAGGTATTCATTTTTTCACATGCACTAATGCTGTGGTCGTATCACTGCTTGGCATCTCCTCTATTTGCGTAGGTATGTGTGGGTTGTCAGGAATTCGGACATTGTCACCGAAACTCCGGGCTGATCCTCTCTCTTCTTACATGTCCATTTGAACGGTGGCTGTAACCTACAAGCAAAATAAACAGTTAGTATAATTCAAAGTATCAAAGTATCAAAATAGAAGAAAGCACCATGAAGTGTCATACGCTACTGTTAACGAGGAGCGTATTTGAGTAGGGTGAGATTCGCGAACACATACATTAGGACAACGCTCCATTAACGATGAGTTCAGCTCTCTCCTAAGTCCATCATACTACGAAAGCATCTAATTACATCATGTCAGTTTAGCTATGGTTGCAGTAGAATCATATTCACCTGTCTGTCTGTCGGTTTATCTCACGGTCTATCTGATTGTCATCATATGGCTCATAGCTGCGTTAATCTATTTACTTTTATTATTATCTGTTTTTGTTAAGAAGGGCGTTTCAATAATATTCCAAGGTTCTATTAAACGTGGTATTTCGTAAGAAAAAACTGAAATATTTATTGTATTATGGTGTATACAATTTGGAATTATGTACGAAACAGCTCATCAGGTAAACCATTTTGGTTGCCACGGCTCCGTTGGCACTTGTGCACTCTTTTAATAAAATTTGTGGTATCATTTTTGAGCACATGTCGGGGAATCTCGTTGATACAGCATCTGATTTCAGCCTTCAATGCTTCGGTGGTTGCAGACCTGTTGGCATACGCTTGTAACTTCAGATAACCTCAAAGTCAAAAGTCCAAAGGTGTAAATCGCAAGAGCGTGGCGGCCAATTCTGGTCATCAAACCGGAAGACGACCCGACCAGGAGGAAGCTAGTGCAAAACTGCTATTGTTTCAAAAGCAGTATGGCATGTGGCATCATCCTACTTAAACAATATGCCGTTAAGAGCGATGAATTCTAATTGTGGCACAAAAAGACTCAACCTCCTCAATGTATGGCACTTTTGAAGCACTTTCTGGGGCAGTCGAGGATATCAGCCTGAAATATAGTAGAGTTGTCTTAACATACAAAGAGGACTGGTATATTCATAAAAATCAAAAACAAATAGTTCATTCCACCTGACCATTATAAACTTCAGGTGTAATTTTTATTGAAGTACTTATAAATGAAGGTTTAATAATTGGGTGACAAAAAGTACACACTGAACTCTCAGCGCCAGCCTACAATGGGTGGCACTATGTAGACCTCAAAATGATTCAATTACACTGTATGACTTCTCTTCCTGGTGAATGGTATTAACCACATCATTATTTCAAAGTATGGGAAGTCCGGTTATTTTTGTGTTTCTCCACCTGAACCTGAAGGAAGCACAGTATTGTATTGTCTATAGGCTCGAACAAACCTGTCTCTCAGGTTGTCCCACCTCTTTTTCACTATGGCTGCTGCAAAAGAGTTAAATCTGTTATGAAGTTTTATCATGTATTGTTGAATTATAAATTCTGTGCACTAACATAAACCAGCGTATAATGAGTTAATACAAAATGACTAAGAGCTTCAATTTACGCTATTTAAATGGAATCTTGTAATAGCATTATGAGTGGAAAGCTAAAAGATTTTTCGCATTTGTGCACATTATAAACAAAAAATGTATAATCGTATCGCTAAGGACGCTAAGCACCACATGTTCATACTTACGTTCCGAATCGAGAAACTCTGCTATTGATAGCCAATTATTCTCTTTCATTTTATCATCTTTGTATTCCTTCAACGTTTTATTGTAAATGTGTGGGCACTTTTCCACTAATTGAATCAATAATTCGTCATTCATAATGAAATCGTAGCGTTAGCGTTACTACTCCAAACAAAGACCAAAATAAACAAAACTCAGTTTTTAGGTTAATACTGTAATGCGCATGTCCTGATTCTGAGCATTCTGATTGGCTCCGAGAAGGCGACGGAACGGGAAAGTTGAATCTTGGCCAACTCTTCCGTTTTCGTTCCCGTTACCGTTGCCGTTTCCGTTTGTTGTGCAAGTATGTATTGGATAATATGTAATTGAACTTTTCTCTCGTTTCCGTTTCCGTTCTCGTTCCCGTTCCCAGGCAATTGTGCAGCAGCCTTTACCGTCAAATTTCGAAAAAGTACACTTTGAGCGCCTCAAAAGTACCGATGATAGCCGTTTTTCGGCGTACTTTGTCTTCGTCGATACGGACCTTCGTTACGGATCGACATAGGTACGATTTTTTTCGCGAAACGAAAGACCAAAGTCTCCTGATTAAACCGATATACGACACGTTACCCGATCGGATTTTTTAAACTCGGCAGATTAGAAAATTCAAAGATATGCAGATATTTTTAATTTGAAGTTTCAATTTTGATTTTCGCTCCAGGACCCGTATTCTCGTAACTCAATAAGCTTGCCGTTCCGCGCTCGCCCACCGTGTGATGACGTCATATTCGTACACCGTATGAACGAATCAACAAAAATGGTATTTACGTTTGTTAACGCTATGCGTAATCCAAAAGTGCTCAGCGCACGCTGGGAGGTTTGAAAATGCCTGCCAAATGGTAGGTGTTTCTCCATTCGTCGTGCGAGATTTCTAACCTACAAATGATTTCAATCGTACGATTTTGTAAACACAGTTCCCAATACAGAGTCTTTTGTGTTTTTTACGGATTTGTTATAGTATAAACTGTTATGGCGTTACCATATATAGGAGGGATTCTTTTGGATAACATTCAAGTGGAAAGACAAAGATTTTTCCCCGAAGATCCCTTCGAATTTTCAGACCACAACTTCATAAAGTTATACAGACTTCGGAAGCAAGACGTGGAAAATTTGGAGGAAATCCTTCAGCCATTTCTTCCACTAAGGAATCGAATTGATGCTATTAACAACTGAGTTAAGGTAGTTTTAATTTTTATAAGTAAGTAGACCCCCACTTAATAAAGAAACAGCCGTTTGCACCGACTTTTTCTTATGCGGTCAATAAGCTATTGGTCTCTTAAAGGACCCTTGCATCATTGGTTGGTCTGCACTGGTATTTAGAGGCACTTTATGAATCTCTTAAAGCGCGATTTGTTAAGTATGCAATTTCGGTTACTTAAAGCTCCATTAGCTGTGTGGTTTTCAAGATTTATAGATTATAATAAAGTTGACAGTAAATGTCACGTTTCACTACTAAAGGGGATTACTGCGAAATTCAACACAGCACATATCATGGATTACATGAATTTCCTTGAAATAGAGCTGCTAGAAGATATGTATGATGAAGACTTTGAAATTGGGGAGTTTCTTGAATTTGGCTTTCCCAGAAGGTTCAATGAAAGGCCAAATTATTATGAAGAGATGGACGATTTGAATTTTTTGAGGAGGTTCAGATTAACTAAGCTAACTGTCATGCATCTTTTACAAGAAATTGAAGGTCAACTAGAATACCCTGATAATAGGTGATTCCTTGTAGTCAATACCTAATACCCATTCACTCACAGTTGGCACATCTTACTAGTTCCTTGTTTGTTAAAGAGGCATAGCTTAATAAAGCCAAATTGCCAAAGAAGGTTTTCAAACTATATCTGCGCCTTATCTGTTTTAGAAATAACAGTTTGTCTCCAATGGACCAACTGTTGTTAGCATTACGGTTCTATGCAAGCAGTGGGCATTTAGTCCAAGTAGCAGACTTTATGAACGTGCATGTATCCAGCGCAAGTCGTATTGTGGCCCATGTTTCCAGGGTAATTGCAGCTTTACGACCACAACAAGTTAAAATGCCTATACCAACAGAGCATGTCCAGGCCCAAAATGACTTCTACAACATTGCTAGGCTAGGCTGCTATTGATTGTACTCATGTGAAAATTCAGTCACCTGGTAAGTATAAAAATCAGTTTTAACCATATTTTAAGTTCAATTCTAATCCATTTTATGAGAATAAATTATAATTTCTTTGTATCTGAAAGGTGGACACAATGCAGAAGTCTATAGAAACAAAAAATAATTTTTTTCAATGTGCAGTGTCTTACGGATGCCAACTTAAAGTTTTTGGATGTTGTTGCTCGCTGGCCTGGAGCAACTCATGACTCAACAATTTTTGCTAACTTGACTATCAGGGCAAGATTTGAGGCTGGACAATTTCCAGGTTGTTTAATTAAAGGTAGGTCATAGAGCATCAAAAACTGAAATAATTGAAAATATCATTTTCTAAATCTTTGTAAATATCAAGTGGTTACAACATGCAGTTGCCATATTATCTTTAAACACCTAAACAGAGAAGAATATTTATTTCTATTTTTCATTAGATGGATGTAATAATTGATAGTGATTTGTTCACTTGGTAGTGAAAACAAATTTTTGCTAATCAAATGCTGAAGAAAACTGACGTTTTTTTTCTTTTTTAGGGATAGTGGGTATCCACTAAAAAATTATCTTATGACACCCATAGCGAATCCTAATACTCGAGAAGAACAACTTTATAATGAGGCCTTAATTCGCACCAGAAACAGTATAGACACGGTTTTTGGAATCTGGAAACGTAGATTCCCAGTAGCTTCGATTGAAAACTGAAACTATATTGACCCTTATAGTTGCTACTATTGTGCTGCACAACATCACAAGAGACATGAATGATCCGGATCCTCCAGTTCCTGAAGATTTGAATGAGGAACAATTAGATTATTTGATTGAAACTCAACAAATTGAAATGGGGGCTGAAGGAGGAGCAGTGTACAAGAGGAAATAGTTCGTTTTTTCAATCAATTATAATCCTGTACAGATTATTTTCTAAATAAAAGTGAATATTAAAATTGAATTTAGTTTTAGTGATTTGTATACAACTCATAAAGTCAAACAGTAAAACTATGAAAGTATCAAAAATATTTTATAAGCAAAAATTCTTCACTACAGTAACACAAACTCAACAGAAACGGTAAAGATCCAACTGCCTGTCACATCAAAACAAAGCTATTTGAGATGCAGCAGAAATTGAACTGAAGTATCACAAAAAAACCATAAATAACAGAAACAGCATAAATTCTGATTATATAGAACACAGTTGGAACATAAAATGTAACACGTTTTTTTGCAACTTACCCTCACAAGTCATCACAATAGTGTTTACAAAAGACTAGCAACTTAAACAGAGTTCCTACAAATTTATCCTGAGCAAACATTTAAAAAAACAAACAATCTTTTGTTACTCAGGATTAAAAATAAAATGGATATTTTATAAAGAAAAGGCTTAATTAGAGGACAGTTGTTCTAACTGTTTTGCTTTTATCTGGATATCTAGCTCAAGGATTCTGATATTTAATTGATGCTCCTCTTCTTGGAACAACCTTTCTCTTTCAATTTTCTTTATAAGATGATCACAGATGATATTTTTCTTGTCAGCTAGATCATTATATTTTTGTGCTAAAGCATTAGATGCAAGTGACCTCACTATTGTTGACATAGGTCTTCTTCCATCTGATACCTGGAAGTAAAATACTTCAGTGAATATTTAGCTATACAGTTCTAACAAACTTTTGTTGACCTTTTTTCAGAATTCAGACTTACTACTCTTTCACTTAAAACTTTTCTTTTTCCTCTCTTTAGTGAGGAACTGATTGGTCTTTTCAAATCTTTTGTTGTATACTTTTTCCACTTTGGTGTGTCTCCTTTCTAAAATAGAAAAAAATATTGATCAAACAAGAGAAAAGGTATCTATAGTAATCAGTGTTGTAGCTTGGCTTGACTTTCTGGAGCTACACAATTTTTTTTTGGTCAATGTATCTAGATAAAAAAATTTAATAGGCCTTGGTGTATTTTTTAATTCACCAGTTGAGCAACCGGTGCCACCGGTGGACCAGACATCCGTCCTTTTAATGCAACCGGTTGCTGCCGTCACCATACAAAGCTGTCAACAGTGTCAACCATAAGCACCGCATCCATCAGTGGTGGAATCAACCGGTGAATTAAAGAATTCACCTCCTGTAAAAATGTTCATTTTGTCAAATGTGTTACATATTTTAGCAACATGTAGCAATTTCCATCATAGAGAATGGAAACATTTAAAAGTGTTGAATTCTTTTACTTTGTCCACTAAGATTCACAAAATTTCAAGTTATTATCCTCAAACTCCATATCTATTAAAATTTACCTCATTTTCTTCCAAGTCCTTAGATAATATTTATATGATGCGGTGCTCTTTTGTGATTCATTACACTTATCGTTTTCAGTTTTATTTTCATTTATAATATGGTCTCCCAGGTCTTGGGTCATTTCATTCACCTACAATTAATTTGTGGGTTAAACTCGGGCATTCTGAGATGAAGTATAAAATGGAACATCACATACGGTAAGAGCGCGTAAGAGTACGCACTTAACTTTTGACAGGAGACAGAAACGTCATATACAGTTTTATTTTTTTATTCGAAATAAATATCAGTTGCTTGGCGCTTCAAGCATCAGAAAACAACAAAACACATTTTTCTTCGTATTAACAAAAAAGATACAACTATTTAAACAAAAAAACGCATATGCGTACTCTTGCGAACACTGGATTTAAAGAGTACGCAGTGGTGGTGGTAAGAGTACGCACGATGGATATTTTGGTTAGGTACAAAAATCGCATACAAATTCACCAGATCCCGAATATTCGCTACAGTCCTCATGCCACCAGGTACTACAAGAACCACATCTGATCTACTCTGAAGTGCTGTAATGTTCGCTGCACAAGGGACAGGCAACATCATCTACAGAACCGTTAAGTTTTTTAGAAGCCGGTAATTTTTGCTCTATATTTTCTTTGGGGCGATCCTCTGGTGCTTTCCTTTTTTTGCCGAAGACATTCTTCTTTACACTATTTTGTTGTGACTCCAGTTTTTCTGTCAATATATCTTTGTATGGTGTGGAGGTTAATATCTCTGATTTTTTAGAATATTTGCGCCTAACCTGTGCGTGCTTTGCCTTAGGGAACGAGATAATATCGGATGGCTTTACACTTGTCGAATTCAGTATACTGTCATTTTGATCTGTTGTACTGTGTGGTATTTCTTCGTTTTTGTCATTGTTATGCTTGGAAATAGCATTTTTTTCTGGGGTTTTGTTGTTCATTTCTACTTTTTTTGTATTTTTTTCCTCTCGCAAAATCTGGCTAATGGAATATCGTCCTCTTCGTCTACTGACACTTGTCTGTTAGTTTGGTTGCTAGTTCCAGGCTCCAGAATTGGTGGACCCTGATCCGCAATTCCTAGTTCTGGATCCATATAATTAGGATCAATGTCAGTCACATCCGCTGGAGCGAAATCATCATCATTAAAAACATCTGGATTATAAGGGTATAAACCAGTGGCTTCAAAAGCCTTTTGGCATATGGATACCGTTGCAACCCTTGAATACGCTTGTCCGCAGAGCATAGCCATTTGTTTTTGGGTAATCGGCTTGCCAGGATTTGTGGTCATATATTTGTCGCATTCGGATGAAAAAGCAGTTTTCAACGGCGCAAAAAACCTTTATCAAGCGGCTGTAGCTTCTGGCTTGCGTGCGGTGGTAGAGTGAGCAAGATTATAAAATGTTCTCTACAATATGAGATTAACGGCAGTGAACAATGAGACACATGATTGTCCATAGTAAGTAATACCGGGTCGTCTTTGGTGGGCTTTACATGGTTACAAAAATGTTTTATCCACTCCAAGAATAACTCCGTATTCATATAACCGGTGCCAGAAATCAGTTTCAAGGTACCCAGTGGTGCCCCAAAGAACAACTCTTCTCTCATCCGTTTTCTCGGGAAAATTAGGCCAGGCGGAACCCATATCCCAGAAGCACCCATGCAGCAAACTGCTGTTATAAGTTGCCCACGTTCTGCCGCCACGATCTTTGAGACACACTTCTTTCCTCTTTGTGAATATATTTTAGGCAACCTGTTTGGCACTGTTGATAAGCCTGACTCGTTCATGTTGAATAAACGGTGAGGTTGCATGTTATTTTTCTCATAACAAGCTTTTAGGTTGTCAAAAAATTTATTGACTTGGGGTCTATTAAACCCCATCGCTCTTGCCAAACTGCATTTTTCTGGGACTCGCAGAGACAAGTTCTGACGAGTCACTAATCCAATGTCTTCCTGCCATTTTTGTTTCAGGATTAAAACGATGCGGAATATTATTTAATTCTGCGTATTGATAAGTAAGTGCCATTACTTGTTTTCTTCCCAGGCCATAAAACCTTATTTCAAGATCTTTAATGTGTGCAGCTAATTCCCTCTCTTGAGCATGTGTGAACACGGGTTGAAACCGGCCTAGTGACGTCGGAACTGTTCCCTAAAACATTTTTTTTTATTAAGTAGTTGTAACATTTTCTTTGTTAAATTAATGTATTACCATTCGAAGCCGCTCTCTTAAGCTGCATTCATTTACCTCCAAAGATGCCGCAACGGATCGTTTACTTTCTCCATTATCAATCCTTGTTTGGGCTTCCTCTAATAATTGTTGTGTAAACTTTAACTCCCAGCCAGATTTTCTTTCTTGCTTTGCCATTGTCTGTAGATCATTTATTTTTATTAGATTAATGGAAAAAATTTAAAGAGTGGTAAGAGTACGCGTTGGCCATAAAGTGTACGCGTGGCCATAAAGAGTACGCGCGTACTCTTTGTGCGCGTACTCTTTGTGTGCGTACTCTTTGTGTGCGTACTCTTGGGTACATGAACAAGGGGCAAGGGCATGCATTTTCTGAAAATAGGCAACCACATTCACGTGAAGCATATTGATCATTTTATAACCTAACAAACCTCCGTTGAGGTGCATAGTCAAAATCCGGTCTTAAGCTTCAACTAGACAACACACTACCTATTGTAAGCTCGCAAGAAGTTATAGAAAAATATGCAAATTCTTTCTACTTACATTTTTTCCTTATAATTTCCGCCAAACACTGCCTTATTTTGCCCAACAACAACCTTCCTTTAGACACATCGACACTGCAGACTACACCTATCAGATGACTTTAGAACTATCCGATTCGCGCATACGCATTACGGGCTGCGTACTCTTACGCGCCCTTACCCTACTCTAAATTTTGGAAGTTTACCTTTGATTGTGCACACTGTGGATCAAATATCAATTCAATTTCATCCAATTGATCAACCCCTTGATCTATATTGATGCTAGTCACATTGTCAGAATCAAATGGGGATGCTAGTCCCTCATATGTGACCGGGTCCATTGTGGCTAACACTAGCTCATCTTCATCGTTTTTCGGAGGTGGTCCACCTCCTGTTTTCAGGACGTCTTGTCTTGCATCAGCCTTTTTTTTCCTGGCTAACATTCGTTTATTTTCATATAACCTTTTCAGTTGTTCCACTGATCTGTGATTGAAATCAGCACTTGTGGCATTGAATTCGGTGGCAACTTTGCCCCAAGCTTCATGTTTTGCAGTGTTTGTTGCTGAATTTGTCCGTTTGTTCTCTAGTATATCCCTGTATTTCAATGCGATTGAAAATAATAAATTTTGTTCTCTTGGAATAAAGTTAACTGCCCTGCTTCATTTATTCTCACACATTATTATAAGCAGGCAAAATATTATAGAAATATTAGAAATGAATTTACATATTTCGCAGTTAATTAGCAGAATTAGGTTAGGTCACCACAAATTGACACGGAACGTATTTTATTTAATACTTTCTTGACACTTTGACGTTAAAGTGACACTTTCGACAGCGTTGCCAAATTGAATCCGTAGTTAAATGGCCATTAGCTAAGTGAAGCACAAATATGGTCGGTGCAAGTCGTTTTAAAGTTAAGGGATCAATAACTTATGGGGTCTCTTACCTAATGGTCTCATAAGAAAAAGTCCGTGCAAATGGCCGTAAGTCTTTAGTTATGTCATTCAAAAATCACAAGAATCTCAATCTTTGTGACCCTAACGAAACACACTTCCCTTTACATAGAATGTACATATATTCTTGTTAGATTTCGGTGTAATTGTGTTTTGTAATAGCTTCTTGTTTGTCAGTAAATACACTACAATTGTTGTTGGTACACATTTTTGATCTCTGCTTTGAAACTCAGAAATTGGTCAATGACACTGATCGTTTACTGATCTAAGTTAGATATTGTATACCTACTATAAAACTTTCTTTTTTCTCCTCTAGATCCTAACATCACTTAGATTTTTTGCAGGTGGAAGCTACCAATTGGATATTGGTCGAAACCATCGTATGGCAATAGGCCAGCCATCTGTGTCCCGCGTTTTGCATGAAGTGTTGGATGCACTAAATCAGCCTGCAGTTGTGAATAGGTTCTGCCATTATCCTACCACTATTGAAGAACTGAGGAACTTAAGAGAGAGGTAAATATTTTCTTTAATATGAGGTAGTAGAATATCTCGAATAGATATTAAACATTGTTCTTATTGTAAGTTTTATATTATTTTGCCTATTGAATTGTACATTGAATATTAGTCTTGAATAAATAAAAGACACACAGGGTGTCCCAGAATATGTCAGCAATCTCTCGGATTTGGGTAGCAAAAAATTAAATTTAGATAATTTTTTTTAAACTTATAGTGTAAATCACAAAAAAGTTTTCCCACTAACCAAAACGAGAGATTGTCCAAATATTCTATACATATCAAAGCTTTATTAAACCATGAACTGGGTTTATTATACAGTTAATGAACATCATTATTGACAGTCCCATGACTGCCTTCAACAAAAAGCAGGTATTTTGGCAGTGTATGTGATGTTTTATATCTGTACCTTAGAGCGAACAGGGGTTAAGTCCATTTTTTTATGAATTGAGATTTTTGGCTTAAGCGCCATAGTCATATCTCCTTTTTGCAATCATAATTTGGATTAAGTCCTAACAAAAAGGATAAGTCTCAATATCACTGCGAGCTACAATAGTTCAAATGACCTTGAACCATTGTGCTAATTAATAATGAGGAGTTAAGTCACTTGACCCATTGCTTCTGTCGAGCGGTTTGGACATAACCTGCATACGCACTTTGACGCATACTGATTCAGCGGCGATAAGATTCCAAAATACTATTTTTAAGTGGTTTTAAATTACCACAAATAATGTAACAATGACAGGTAGATCGTCCCGAATACTTCGAATGGCTCTAGGTCAAATTCCAATGACTTCGGAACAGAATAATACAGAAAAAGGTAAGCAACAGATTATCAAATTACATAACCTCAAAATTTTGTTTACCTTGAAATCAATGGGCCCTTGCACACGACTTATTGTTTATGTCGATGCGCATTTTACGCAATATGAAGGCACCCTTAATGCGATGTTATCACAAATCACAACCAATGTACCTAGTAATCTGCTTTTCAATTTTCAAGTGTAGCAACGCAGCTAACGCGCTCCTACGGAGCCTGAAGAAAACGTCAAGGGAATACAAGCAGGCTAAAACCACATTACTTATTGTATGTTTGAAAATCATGCTTACATGTCTTCAAGAATATCCAACAATTTCAATAATTAGGGATTCAGATCTTAGATGCAGCATTTCTAGTATTTCCAGAAAGATTATCAAAATATTATTTCAAACTTTTGGATGTTCAGTGTCTATTAATTTCAGTGAAAATATTGAGCCACAGTTTAAATAAATCTAACGATTATGAGATTCACTCCAAAAATACCTGTGTTTTAGTTGATGAAACATACTATGGTAATAATATTGAACAGTATTCTATTATGGATGGTGAAGAAGTAACGAAAGACTGCTGTCCTACAATATTAAGGAATGACGTAGAACTGCAAGACAATTTAGTTCTTTTGGGTGAACCTCCAAATACCTTAGCAATGATAAATTCAATAGGAAAAGGTAATATCTGTTTTTAAATAGCAATATTCGAGCTTATAATATCTAAGTAAGTCTTAGTGTAATTGAAGTCATAAGATTTGGACATTTTTTTGCCAGGAGCTCGGTGCATATCACCTCTAGGTGAATTTTATAATTTTTGGTGTAAAAATATTGAAAATGTTTTCACCTATGTTGTACTTAGTCATTGCCAAGTGTTTATTTTTGGATGAATGAATAGTTGATCTCTCAGTTGAGAGTCTAAATATGAAATATTTAGATTTAAGCTTCAAACGCAACTTTGTTTCCCCATCTTTTACACACCCTTTCTACATCATGCTGAACTACTATTCACACAATAATAATAAATGTAAGGTTGAACGCTCACGATTTGATAGAACAGAACCTTTAGGAGTAAATAACAGATAATCTTGATATTTGTCTTGGCCGGTTATTTTTATTTTCTTCAAGCCATATCTCTGGGATGTACTTTTATATTGCAATTTTTAACACTGGAATGCATTTATAGCCCGTATACCATGCCTAATATATCTTAGAACCTTGCAGCGCTTAACCTTTCCGTAGACCACATTACATAATACCGCAGGCTAAAGATTTACGAAATCTATGACTTAAAAGGATCTATGTCTAAATCACTCGCAAGCTCTTTCTCTTCAAACCAGTCAAACTAGTCCTACTTTGATTCAGCAATAGAACTTTTGTTTACTTATGTCTTCAATTATAAGGTCACCATCAATTCTAAGTTGGTATTGTTTTGGTTTACAGACAATAATATCCAAGGAGGTATCGATTACTGTCGGGATATTGCCGATCTCCCTATTGTGATTCTTGAAAATCCCTGCGATTCTAAAAGTCTTCCCTCAGATTGTATCGATAAACAAGACTTGGAAGGCATTACTCTTGATCAAGATACTAATACTGTTTATCAAGACAATCTGACACCCACCTTAGTACGAATTAAGAACCAAAAGGGAATGGAGAAAAACGAAATGGATGAGTCGTCTGACCTTAGTGACACTGCATACGATCCTAATTATGAAAATGAAGATTCTATGCCTGAATCAGATGATAGTGAGGTCAATCAGGGCGAAGAAGCTAAGGAAGCATTGAGCGAAAAGGAAAATCATAATACTAGTGAAGACAGGAAAGGGAGAAAAAGGGTGAGAAACGAATCACAATGGGCAGCAAACAAAAGGAAAATGGCTCGGACTGCTGGTCAAGAATATACATCCAGCAGAAAAACTAAAATTCGTGCTCGAAAATTGAAACCTTGTTGTAAGTTAAAATGCCATGAGATTTTCTTAAATGGAGAACGACAAAATATTTTACAGTCTTTTTGGAATGAGGATGTCGATTACGATAGGAAAAGACAATTTGTGGCGTCATGTATTGAGGAGACTCCTGTGCAACGGCACAGAAGCCGAACCGGAACACGAGAAGGAAAAAGAAGTGTTACTTACATTTATTCCTTAACCAGCAAAGGTTCAAACAAACGGGTATGCAAAAGATTTTTTTTAAATACTTTAGACATATCACAAAATTTCGTGGATCACGCTCTGCGTAAGACTTTACTAGGAGGTATTATTAAAAGTGATTTAAGAAAAGGTCACACACCACAAAATAAAATACCAGATGAAATAAGACACCACATAAATAGATTCCCATTTTATGAATCGCACTATAGTAGAGAGAAATCAACCCGAAAGTATTTAGAATGTGACTTGAATATAACCAGAATGTATCAGCTCTATTGTGACGAAGCACTTGCATCAAATACTTTGCCTGTACATATTGGCAAGCTGTGGCTTTATCGCGATATATTTAACACAGAATTTAATCTCTCTTTTAAGATGCCCTCAAATGATACATGCGATAAGTGCGATTCTTTTACTGTAAAATTAAAAGATCAAGCAGATCCCACTCAGCGTCAAGTTTTGCAAAGTGATTACGATAAACATATCGAGGACGCGCAACTTAGATACAGCATGAAGGCTGCTGACAAAGAAAGTGCGAAAAATGCCAAAAACAGGAAAGTGATCATGATTGATCTGGAAAAATGTTTGGCAACTCCTTTATTGAAAAATTCCCAAAGCTTTTATTCTCTCAAGCTCTGGACCTTCAATCTTACCATTCATGACTCAACAGTGAATAAAACATTTTGTATGATGTGGGATGAGACGGTGGCTGGAAGGGGTGGGAACGAAGTCGCATCTGCAGTTTTAAAATGGTTAAAGGTTTCACAGTTGGATCCCCAGATAGAAGAATTAACAATTTGGTCAGACAACTGCCCATCTCAGAATAGAAATTTGATGATGGTTATGTGCTACTTCCACATTTTCAGTATATTTCCCGAAGCCGTATGAATGATATGATAGAATGAATGTCTTGTCGATCTTTAGGCGGCCATACTGGAAAATCATGTTTTTGGACTTAACTCCTGTTCGCTCTCAGGTACAGATATTTATTTTTCAGTTTTTTTGAAGAAACTGGTGTTCCAGGCATAACTGGCATTATAGACTGCACACACATTGCATTGACAACACCAGTAGAAAATGAACACATTTATGTAAACAGGAAAAATTTCCATTCATTGAATGTTCAAATGGTAAGTCTTCATATGTGAATTGAGGTTCAGTCATTCTTAGTGTTTCCAAGTGCAATTACATCATATAGTAATATTTGATTTTTTTTGCTTTTAGATTTGTGATAAACAAATGAAGATATTGAATTTCAATGCCCGATATCCTGGAAGCACTCATGATGCTTTTATTTGGAGAAACTCCAGAATAGAGGAATTTCTAAGTACAATGCCAGATAACCAACTGGGTACTTTTTACCTACTAGGTGAGCTATTTAGATGCACACATTCAAACCCTAAAGTTATCAATTTATGTAAATATAAAATTGTATCAACTAATCCTTATTTTTAAAGGTATGTATAAATTGTGTAATTTAATGTATTGCTTTGTTGAGAAAACTTTTGTCTTTTGATTATAAAGCTTATTTTGATTTAAGTATGACATATCTTTATTTCAACACTTTGAGACTAAGGTTCTATAAGGTTTTTTTATAATTATAATTGTAGCTCTTAACTGTCTTTCTCACTATAATAATGGTCTTGTTTTTCAACAAAATGTATGCTTCCATTGGGTGCTGAGCTCTGTTTATTTCTATTCCAGCCGATTCTGGCTATCCACTAAGACCTTGGCTGATGAACCCCTATCTGCCTGAGCCTGCCCCTGGAACACCAGAGGCTCGCTTCAATGAGAGAATGACACAAATTAGAGTCCTCATTGAAAGGTGTTTTGGATTGCTCAAGAATAGATTCCGTTGCCTTCTAAAAGATAGAGTTTTGCACTATGCCCCTATCACAGTGGCACAAATTGTAACGGCATGCACTGTGTTGCATAATATTTGTGTAGAAAATAATATTCCTCTAATCGAAGACGAGGATTTTTTCAATGAAGAATTGGATGGCTATGAAAATGCTGTTGTAGAAGAGTTTGGAAGAAATGTGTTGAATAATAATTTTGTGCAGCGTGGTAGAGAAATTAGGAACTTCCTTGCCAGAACCTACTTTTAAGGCTTCTTTTTAATTTTTTTAAAGTTATATTTTATTTTTTTAACCCTATAAGTTTGTGTTTCCACAAATAAAAGAATTGTTACCTTAAAGTTGATTTTTAATGAGTTGATTACAAATTAAAACCTCAGAAACTTAAACTTGGCAAAGAAAAACAATATCAAGTGCTTAAACACTATTTTTTTATTCTGAAAAGAAAAAATACAAAAACTAAAGTTAAATGGCACAGACAGTAGGAACTATTGAAAATATATTACCTAATCTAGAATCACAAAAAAACACTATAACATATTGTGGTTATCAACAGTGAACCAAAAAATATGTCTATTAACAGCAAAAACTCGAATAGATGTATGATATAGACTCTATCAAACATTATCATAGTGTCAGTTGGACATTTTTACAAGACAAGACATAATCATGTGTTGAATACAATTTTTCCAAGCATTCTTTATGGTTATAGTCATCTTAAGAATCTGTAATAACTAACATTCTAGATTCTCTAAATTTTTTTTCATGGCCCCTCAACCCTCCCAATCTAAGCTTTTCTTTTTCTAACTCTACTTCTTCTTTTCTTATCGTTAATTCCTCTTCTTTTAGCTGCACTTCTATTTTTCGCAACTGTAGCTCTTCTCTTTTTAATGCCATATTTTCTTCATGCAATTTTTGCTTTTGCTCTAACTTTCTGTCATAGTAACTTTCATGGATTTGATTGATGTTCTCAGTAACTCTTACCAGATCAAATGCTGCTCTGTTTGGGCCTATTCTCATTCTTCTGGTTGGAGTAGTACTTTTCATGGGAGGTCTTGTTGTTTTTTTCTTGTTTTTCTTTTATAGTACTTGGCTTCTCATTTAGGATTTCATTCTTGCTTGATTCAGGATCCACATTTTCATTATTGTTTACATCTTCTGCTATTTCAAAGGACACACCAACTTCTGGCAGTGGCTGTTGATCCCAGTTAAGGTACAGATAGACATGCTCAAAACTAGCACAAAAGCATGCTACTAATGAGCAATTGCTACCTACTCGCACGTGTGTCTAAGCATTTGCTAGTATTCAGCATGCTCAAAACTAGCATGCTGACAAATCGATCGACGTTCGATTTTTGAGCGTGCTACTTGAGATGTGGATGGAGGGGGAATGCCCTTGAGCAAGTGTGGACGCCTTTGCTAATAACGAGCATGCTAGTGTTCCGTCGCAAGTGTGCATGTGTGTTGCGACATCGAGCCAAAATGTCTCGCTGGGGAGATGAAAAGACGTTTAAATTTGTAAATCTTTACCGGAGCCATGAATGCCTTTGGAATCCAAAGCTACCGGATTACAAAAACAATATTTCAAGAAATAATGCGTATAAAGATTTGATAATAAACATGAATGACCCTACTCTAACTGTTAAAATTATAAAAACCAAAATTAAAAATTTGAGGTCTGTTTACCACTCAGAAGTGAAAAAAATTAACAGTTCGAAGCGATCCGGATCTGGTGCCGCAACAGTATATAGTCCATCCCTGCCATGGTTTAAAGAAATGCACTCTTTCCTTGGAGACACAGGTGATTACCGGGAAACTATTGAGACAGCAGTGGTAAGTTTTTATACTTTTATTATTATATCGCCTAGAGTTTTGTATAGAACATAATACGTGTATATACTATAAGTACAGGTTGTTTATATCATATGGTCTTGCCATGGTACCGCTTCTGTAGTTTCAAAAAGTTGTGCATAAGCGTTTCTTATTGCTTCTGCCTTTCGAGAGGCATGGTTACTATGACGCGCAGGTGGTAGGCTTCCCATAGCTGTACGCAGTTGTGTCCTCCATGCTCCTGGTACAACAACACGTTGTTGTACATCTTCAAAATCGACGCATCTGTGAGTGATGTACATATCGGATGTTTTTCGCAGTCAATTATGTAACGAGCAAGCAGCCAATACAATACTATCAACATTTTTTGGTCTCATATCTATAGTGTTCAGAAGAACTCGAAATCTTGTGACTAAAATACCAAACGCATTTTCTACAATTCGTCTAGCCCTCGACAAACGGTAGTTAAACACTTGTTCTTTATGCGTTGGTGTTCGTGGGTAGGGCTTCATTAGATAAGTCTTTAAAGGAAAAGCCGCGTCTGCCACAATTATCGATCGCTCTGTTAAATTAAGAGTATTATTTTCTAAAGCTTGTGCCAACTTTGATCGTTGAAAAACACCGCCGTCAGACGCTCTCCCATTAGTTCCAACATTTACATATGAAAAACAGTAATTATCGTCAACTAATGCGAGAAGTATAGTGCTGTGGGCACCCTTATAATTGTAATAATCGGAAGTATCATCAGGAGCACGTATACTTATGTGTTTGCCGTCCAGCGCCCCAATACATCCTGGAAAGTTCCATTTAGTTTGAAATCCATGCTCAATACGCTTCCATTCTTCATGGCACGGAATCTGTAAAAAAGAAAACAAAATCTCTATATCCAATAGTATACAGTAGAATTATTATTATCTAATATTCATTATTATTAATCTTTTTTACAGGAAACAGATGAGTCATCGCAGGATTCTCGACCAACTAGTGCTAATTCGAACTCTAACCCCTTGTCACCGCCATCAGTCAGCACCGTAATGTCGCCACCCTCGACTACTGACATTGCGGAAGAAGGAACACCATCCCGTTCATCTAAGGACACACCAGCACGGCGTAAAAGAAGGAGCCTACAAGAAGAGCCGATCACTTCTGCTCTAAATCGTTTAGAAAATATAACTTCGTCTATAAACAGACAAGCAGAATATGATGAATTTCATTTTGTTTGGTTTGAATATTGCTGCCCAATTGCGAGCCCTACCATTAGATGATGCACTAAACGTGCAAACTGAGATTCAGACAATTATAACTGCGGCTAGACGTCGACATCTGTACCCAAACTTGTCTACATACTCCACTTCACCCATACAAATAATAAATTCCACACCTACTTTTACAAATATTCAAACTAACAACAGCCAAACCGAAGCAGAAGACGCTTTAAGCAGAGCATGGAGATTTTCTTAAAGTATGTACTTACCAGATAATATGTTAACAAAAATAAATGTTTCATTTGAAATAATATCAGTGTTCTACTTACCCGCATATAATCCTTCAAAGCGCTGTATATTGCATCACAAACTTCTGGTATAAATTGAGCTATGGTAGATCTCGCAACCCTGTGAAGTGCTTCTAATGTGTACATGGAATCTCCAGCTGCAAGGTATCTCAGTGTAACTTCCAATTTGATTTTAGCTGGAATAGCATTTCGCATATGTGTATCTTGTTTTTGTATAGCATTTTCAATTTCAGAGAGTAACTCGTCAAACTGATGCGGAAGCATACGTAAATGATTTTGATAACCCTCACTATCTTCTGCTCGCATTTCGACCAACAAACGAGTACTGGCTCCAAGATTTTCTCTTCTATTTATCCAGTCACGGACCCAAATCGTCCTATTCCTTCTTTTTTCTTTTTTGTTAAAAGTACATTGCGTATGCATTGCACTGCAAGTAATATGATGGTTTCGTTCACTTGTATGCGGATAGCCACGTCGTGTTCCATGTTTTCCACCACACTACACTGACAGATGCTAGCAAATGGTACGTGTAGGTAGAGTGTTTGTTTTAAGCATGCTTCTGCAGGAGCATGCCTGAAACGAGCATGCTTATTTCAAGCACATGTATACAGTTAAAAGAGCATTCTCGTTTGAAGCATGCTCACAGGCATGCTTTTTTATAGCATGTCTATCTGTACCTTTAACTTCTGTATCAACAGCTATTCCCAATTCTGGTATGTACAGTCTCTCAATGATGATATCTCCACATAACACAAGAAAGTTTAATAAATTAAAAAACAAATATTTCAAATGAACTGATTCATTTCTGGGGTCTCCTAAGTGGCAGTGAATAATATTTGTTATATACATACGTTTGATTCTTTTACCCTTGTTAATTTTTACTGAGCTGGCAATGAGGGATGACGTATCCAGCTATTGGTGTTGGTACCAAGTAGCACAAATAAAAAAAAGGTCAGTAAGTCAACATTTTTTGAAAAACTTTGGATAGAAAATGGACTGCACATAAAACCTCTAAATTTTGCAAAAAACTTAACATTACAATATCTTTAAATATTTGCTTATTAAGAAAAATAAAAGTGTGCTATTTAGATCACCAGGAATGTATATGCTGCTGTTCATGATGCCCAGCTAGTACAACAAAGCAACATACCAATGATTTCCAGAATTTTGTTATCAAATTCGTTGATAACATCTGCTGTACTTGGACCACCACCTGTTTTGTTAGCCTCTTTTTTATTTTCTGAAATTTTCTTTTTAGTCCTAGTCATGATATCACTCCAAGTCTAAAAAAAAAAAATGTTAAAATACCAACATCATATTTAATGTAAGCAAAGTTTGTGATATTGATTTTCAGTAAATATTTAAAGAACGTCACATTCTCCTATTGGATAAATACTTATTACGTTCTTATAATATTTTTAAACGGGCTGGGCTGTAAGAAGTGGTACAGTCATTTCTATGGCTTTTGAAAAACTAAATTTATTTCCAAAGTTAGACACCCATTGCCTGTAGTCTTGTAGGTCCTAATCATAAAAAACTAACACAAAAAAATCCAAATATGAAACTCTGTGCCATTTGTAGCACATTCTATGAATCTAATGCTGGATTCATAGTTCTAAAATGTAAGAAGTACAAAAAAAACACAAGACGCAGTCACAGAAGTAAGCCACAAGAATTAGACACAAACAGTTTGTTACTTCTAACTTACTGTGAACAACAACTTGCCTAAAATTAGTTTTTCTTTACTTCTATGTTGCTTAACTTCTGAATCTAATTTAAATACATACATACTTGATACCCCTTCAACTGTTACGTAATTTATGAACCGCCTACAAGAAATACAAGGTTCATACCATTTGTGATGTTATACATACCTTTCTCCATTCCTTCCAAGTCTTTTGGGCTCCTGGAATAGAATTGAGCTTGATGGTAGCTTCCTGCCACAGTCGAGCTGTATCTGAATTGGTAAACTGGTTACTTTGTTTTTGTTTGACCAATTGTGGATGTTCGTCCATGAATTCCAACAGCGTTTTTTTCTGTTGGGCTGTTATGGTTTTTATTGACATTTTTAAAACAATAAAGCTAAAGAAAGCACAGCAGACAACAAACAGAAACGAATGAAAGCAAAAACAAACGTCAGTCAGATGTCACCTCTGTCAAATATATGTCGGGAACACTGCAAAATGCGGTGTTGCCACGATGTGGTAAGCGAAATCGATTTGGTTGTTGCACAGCCGGACGCACGGTAACAAGAATACCAAAATCCGTTGGTCAACGCGTCGCCGAGCGATCCGCGCGCTATACGTCTCGCATAGCGAATCAAAAACGTAACGTATTACGAGAATAGCGGTCCTGATTCGCGATTCCTGTTAGGCGGGGTATTGTAGGTATGGTCGTATTACGAAAGCGAGCGCGTGCAAGCGGAACGTCAAAAACGTACCATTTTCGGCTTCGTGACTATCGCTTTATCCAATATTGGATCACGCCAAATAGAATTGTCCCTTTTTACGCGTGAAAATCAACATTTTCGAATAGATTCAGAATTTCTATATTCTATAGTCCAAACGGTACCGGACTATAGCAATATTCACAACAACAATCGAGTAGGTTGCGATGTTTACAGGCAGTTGGTGTTAGGCTTTGACGTTTAGCGGTTGATAGAAGTCATCATCAGTTTGAATACGATAAAAATGATTGTAAGACCTTATTACTGCCAAAGATCAATTCCTGAAGAGACCAGAAATCCACAACATAGCAAGACTTTCTACTTATAACAGTGTATTATTGTGTAGTGATACCCGGTGCCGAGTGTTTACAGTTTTTCGGTTAAGACGAAGTGCCTCAGTGTATATCTATCGTGATAATATATTTAATCTTTGAAGAAGTTCGCCGACGTAATCGTCAGCAGATTTAAATAAGGTAAAAATAATTTTCATTCCTGTCAAATCATAAAACATTTACACTCAAGAAATAACGTGCTATCCTTAGGCGAACACGGTTGACATATGTCAGTGTCAAGCGCCATTTTTTCGTCGTGCGGTAGCTAGACTTATGCGACGTTGCCGGATCCTCACATAAATCTGAGTTTGTCATACCATTTTATAGAGGGCATTAATGCTATATCGAAGATTTTATAATGCCATTGTGTGCTATTAATGGTGACACATGCGACATTGAAAAATGCAAAATGAAAAATGAAAAATGAAAAATGAAAAATGAAAAATGAAAAATGAAAAATGAAAAATGAAAAATGAAAAATGAAAAATGAAAAATGAAAAATGAAAAATGAAAAATGAAAAATGAAAAATGTAAAATGAAAAATGAAAAATGAAAAATGATCAATGACAAATGAAAAATGAAAAATGAAAACTGATAACTTATAAAAGATAACAGATACCAGATACCAGATCCACATACCAGATACCAGATACCAGATACCAGACACCAGACACCAGATACCAGACACCAGATACCAGATACCAGACACCACATACTAGACACCAGACACCAGATACCAGACACCAGATACCAGACACCAGATACCAGATACCAGATAAAGAGATAACAGATACCAGATAAAGAGATAACAGATACCAAATACCATATACCAGATACCATATACCAGATACCAGATTCCAGATTCCAGATACCAGACACCAGGTACCAGACACCAGATACCAGACACCAGACACTAGATACCAGATACCAGACACCAGATACCAGATACCAGGCACCAGACACCAGACTCCAGACACCAGATACCAGATACCAGATCAAAGATGCCAAAGGATAAAAAATGATTAGAGATAGGGATAAAGTTATCGCTAGCATTGCATTAGCATATCAGCAACTGCGCTACGTGAGGTTTTAAATAAAGACATCAACGGACAATTTTTGCATAGCGTTAGCGTGCCAGCAACTGCGCTGGTAAAATTATTATCAGTTGTCAAAAACACAAAAACAAAATTATATTAGGATCTAAAAATCAATGATTATTCAATATCGGAGTCATCACTCGACGAATCGAGAGTCGTCGCTATTTAACTCAATCACAACTGGTTCAACAATAATGTCTATGTAAGTATCCAGATCCCTCACTCTCTGCTCCTCCTTGATGACGTGTTGAATAAATGTTTGCCAGTTCTCGCTGGATACGTTGTTGATAGCATTTTGTAACAAAGACTCAATTGGATTTAGTTCGCAATGATAGGGTGGTAAGCGATGAACAATAATGGCATGCTGGCGCGACATTTCATCTATAGCGTACAATATTGACGTGGGTTTGCTTTGCCTAGCGATATTAAGGAGTTCAATTCTAAGCATTTGTTCCTGGTGTGTGTAATGTTTTTTGTCTTGAGCCAAATTATGTCACTTTTTCGCCATGAACTAGTAGGGAACTTTTCTAGTCGGCGACTGTGATATGGAGCATTATCCATTACCACGACTGAACCAGAAGGGATATCCCGCAAAATGCTTTTGAACCATGCTTCAAATCTATTTGCATCCATATCGTCGTGATAATATCCAGTCTTTTTGGACTCGAATGTCAGTAATCCTTTGTCCAGACACCCTTCATCGCTGCCAATATATGTTACAATAAGCTTCCGCCCTTTACCTGAAATAAAGTTTCAATAAATTCGAGCGTCTAGGAGAACAGTAAATGAAGGATATTAGTCTTCTAATGACCGTACTTTACATGAATTTCTTGTATTTCCTTTTTTTCTGATAAGAACCTAATAAAAACCCTTCTCATCCGTTTAAGTCACGAATCATTTTGTTTTTTTTTTTTCATGAGTAATGGTTTTCAGTGTTTTATAGAGTCCTGAAGAAGGCAATAAATATTAAACATAGGCAGCTCTGTAACAGAAAACTGTTTCTTTGGATCCCAAGTCCATTTAACAACGAAAAACTAAATTAAGTTTTTAAGATTGAAACGTATAATCCGATTATGGTGATTAGCAATGGATGGGATAATAATGGATATATAATCCTTTAGTGAAAGTGGCAAGGTATTCTGATTGTCTCCTAGAATCAGTGGAGTCATTAAAGTAGGATTATAATTATTTCAAATTCAAATTCTTTTATTATCCCTAGAGACATTACAAAGTATGTATAGGATTCGTCGGAATAATAACTAATAAAACAACACAAAATAAATATATGTATAAAACAAACACACAAATAAATCATAACATAACAAACTCAGAGACGGCATAATAACATTTACACACAAGAAAATCTGTCAGCTTAGCCTTAAAATTATGTATATCTCCACAGTCTTTAATATGTTTTGGTAGTTTATTGAAAATTCGTGGACCCAGTATTTCCGGAGATCTGACGCCGGTCTTATACTTGGCAAAATACACATTTAAGTCTCCAGCTTGTCTGGTCGAGTACTAGTTAAAATTGTTTAAAAACCTAGTTTTGTTAATAAAAGTATACACAGCCATTTCATATAAAAATAAAGATGGTAAAGTTAAAATCTTAAGGCGCT